AGGCAGCAGTGTTTGAAAAGACCGAGCAAATGTTTCTACTGTCTTGTAAAAGCCTTTTTAGACAAGTAACAAACATAAAAATCACTGCAACTCTGTTTGATTCCTGGTTACTTAAAAAATGATCACAAACAATAAAAATAAATAGATAATTAAATAAATCTAAAACTTTAGGGGTGCTGGGATTCAGTGAGTGCTTCAGCACCCCCAAAAACTGGCCAGAAGCGCCGGTTTCCGCCTTATTTTTGTGCTAAAATGTGACTAATAACATCAGTCGATGCACAAAATTTCTGAAGCTGAATCAATTTGTGAACTCTGACTTTAACCAACTGTTAAATCTTAACTTTGTGCACTGCTCAGTGTTAAAGTCAGATACTTAAATAAAGTTCAGTTAGAGTATTTATTATGCAGATGTTATTAGTGAACATAAAAAGACAATTAAATTAAATTATGCAACTGGGGCTGCTTTACTAAGGACAAATATCGGCAGATGCCGATGTATAAAAAACACAAAATATCGGCCAACCGACACATCGGTCGACACCTAATGAGAGGACGCCCATTTCAGCCTGTAGTTAAGGGCTGCGACACAGGCAGACCAGTAAATCTGGAGCTTTCCCATTTAGCTCACCTCCTCCCTTACCACTATGGACCAGAGCAACCCTCTCATTACGGAATAAAACAGTCATGTTCACACAAAATAAAATTTACTGGGAATTGTAAAAGCAGCAACACAATTTTTTTACTTGAATAAAGAAGTCTAAATATGTTTTAAGCAGCTCCATGTGGCCACACATCAATTGTGTGTCACCGCTCCTACACCAATGCCATTTGTGAAAACCATCTATAAAATGTCAATGTTAAACCTCTATTTGTGAACTGAACAAGTCCTTCCACTGAAGGATTACTTACATCTTTATATGGTTTTAAAGAGAGATAAAACGATGCTGATGCTGCCACCATGTAAAGCTGCCTACTGATATAGACACCACGGTACGGTAAGCATCATTTCACAGCCCCACCACATTCTACTTCTTCCCGTTGTCTTGACTTGTCTCCAAGGCTTGTGACTGTTCCACAATTACCTTCAATTATCCTCACTTCCAGCTCACCAATCGCATCCATTATTGATTCCAGACCCCCAGGCTGCAAGGCTTATCTGTAGCCATCCACTACCCAAGGAGCAGAGTGGAATAGAATGGAATAATAAGACCCTGGTTTGTTTTTCCACCTTCAGGTTCTACATGCCTTAACATTGCGATGCACTGCCCCTGAAAAACTAAAATATTATGAATGTGCTCATCCGTAGAGTAATGAATTGTGGGTTAAAAGAAACAACTAAAATACAAGAATGAGAATTTATGCAAAAGCTGGATTTTTGCAACAAATACCTGTGATTTGCACATCCCATCAAACAGGCATGCAAACAAGAAAATATCCTCTTTCCCAACTGGTCTGTCCATCATATAGGCATGACATTGACAACGCAACATCCTGTCCATTCATGTAGAAGGCAATGACAGACTGACAGAGGGATGGAGAAGTGACTGAAAGGTCAGTTACAAGGTACGGACACAGTAAAATGTGTAATCACACTCTGTGGCACTCTCCTGCCACATTTTTTTTATATGATACAAGCTGACATTTACCAAGACACATACATAAGCTGCTGTCATCACACGCTAAAGTAAAACATCCATCATCTTGAATACATGCCAGGGTAACCTGAGGAGAGCTGCATCAGAGTGCCCCAAATGCCACCTCCTATTACCACAGACTTGGAGGTCTAAATTCTAGGATTTACAAAGTAACACAGCCCTCTTGCGGCCTGATAGTGAACTGCAGTATACAGAAATTCATACATTTTAATCAAAGACTCACTCACATTTTATTTGCAGTTCAGTTCTCCACAGGGACTTGTCGGATCACCAGATTTTGCACATCACACATCTCGTATTCCTACGTGAGATTACAGTGAAGTCCACTCTAAAGTAAAATCAGAACTCTGGTCATTTGTTATTTAGAGGCGCATTGTTTAAATCTGTTGGCGTTACCTTAAATATATATTTTTTTTTTACTTTGGCTAATTTGTTCTGATAAATTTGCAGCATGCTAATAGGGACAAGGAGTTTTGGCTGCTTCTAGTGAAACAAATATAAACTCCAGCTTCTTCCGCGTCAATAGTTTTGGCAGAAAAAAGCCAGCTGGCTACAAATATAAACAAAAACACCTTACAAACGGCTACAAATATAAACAAAAACGCCTTACAAACGTATAAATGCATCAGCGTGTTCACACAGAAATGACGTTGCCTGGCTGACACAGGTGTTGCTAATTAGAGCACAGTGAAAACGTATTTCTTGTGATTTTTCTTTTGTTTTTCAACGACATAAAGTTAGCTTTTAAAACATGTATGTTTTCTAAGAATTGTTCGAACAAAATGCTCACCGAAAACTGCAGAACTTTGTGCTGAAGTGCTGAAAACTTGAACGAGGCCGAAACTTGCCTTGAGTGCAGTTAAAGTGGGCGTGGTTTGCTAGTCTCAATGTGGCATTTACTGTTTGTGGGAAATTTGATGGATACATAACAGTGCAGCATGTATGTGTGTAATTTAAAATAAAATACAGACAAACTAAGATTGATTAGTCATAAATTTAACGTGTGTAAACGATGGGAAGTATATGAGTGCATAACATGCTGATTTAACTGTGTAGGCATCGTTAGTGATCAAACTAAACGTGTTCTTGCTTCTCCAGTGTTCGGTTTCTACTTCAAATCGTATGTTATTAGTTTTACATTTAAGCATTTTCCCAATTGTTTGTCATTTTCGTGCTTATTTTTCTTTTAATTAAACTGTATGTAAAGTTTCTTTCTTTGGCAGATCATGTGTTTTGGATCGGCTTAAAGAGACATAAAAATAATAGTGCATGAAATTGTTATTTGGTAAGTAACTTTGTTTCCATTTTCTCCAGTAGCTTTGACTGTACAAGATTGTAAAAGCTAGATTCAGTGACACAGGGGGTGTCCTTGAAGGCATCATTGATTCACTGTTGTGTTCGCTGAGCTCGTGTTCTAGTGCTGGCGCCCCTCCGTCCTCAGCCCTGATCCATCCCTGCTGTACGGCGCAGGCCCGAAGTAGCGCAGCCGCTCTGAGGTTAGTGCCCTACCGCGCAATCTCCATCTATTTCAGCCCCGGCGCAGCCGCATCATCGAACCCGGCAGCGTTGGGGCGAAGGATGCGGATTGTTTAGATGTCGGGTTGAGAGTGTTTTTTACACACTGGAATCACATTTTGTGGGGAATCGTGTTGTTGGCGCGTACTGGCAAAAAGCTCTCAGACAGTGCAATGAGATGCAGGCCGCTGGGCCTGTCGTTTCTTTCTGTTTCGTTTCATATTACGCCGGTTTTATGCTAGCTGTCTTGCTTATGGTTCAACTTAAGCTGTGCGCAGAAATCGTTCGTTACTGTCCACAGCTGGATAAAGCAGAGTGCTGTTTTCTGTTACAGTTCATGTGCACTTAGATCACCGGCTGTACTAAATGTTAGCTAGGAAGCTAATTAGCCGAATGTAGGACATTGTTAGCTTAGCTGTGTAAGGATAACCGGGCTACCATCGCGGCACAGGCTGTTACAGTCGAGAATGTTTTCTGGCCCTGGATGCTGAGTTTCCTCTTACTTGAGTCTGTGTGAAAGAACGCGTTGTTGCGATGTAGACCATTAATTGTTTTTATTTGTGTCTCGTTGCATTTCCATTGATCCTCAAACTGCAATAGTGGAGATGCAGGGCACACAAACCTGTCTGCAGTGTTTGGAAAAATTCAGATGATCTCCTTGTTTGCTTGTTTTTTCTCTTCCAGCAGAAAAACACAATTTTAAATAAAAAACAACAACTGTTTATGAATCACCTCATAACTTGTTGGCTCCATTAAATCATCACTTATGTTATGATGTATTCCCCAACCAAAAGATGAGGGTGTTTAAATGTGCGTTTATGGGTTTGAGATGGTTCATGATGAGTGTTTTTAATCCTTGGAACTAAAATAACTTGTTTCACTTGTTTACACGCACACACAGTTCATCAGTTGACATGCTTAGCGTCCCAGTGCCCACAACAGTTAGGACTATTGTGTAATTAAAAGGTAATACAGCACATTATGTACTATGATGAACCCACTTTACAGGATTTAAAGGCATAAGATGAGGAAAATACCTAAGAATGCTCAATAAATGCCAAATGTAGAAAGCAGTGGATGAGCTTTGAAATGGATGAACAATAACACATCCTTACAGGATGTTTGATGTTTCTTTAGATGTCAGTAAATGTATGCTTTCTGGTGCGTACCTCAGTATTAGCCACATCAATGCACATGTCGCATTGGAGTCAAGATTTTACACCAAAAGCTGTGAATGTACAGGTTAGGTTGGTAACCGACTACCCAAAGCGTATTTGTGTTAAAGACCAAGTCAGCCCATACCAGGTCTAACTCCACTCCCACTTCATGTTTGAAAAATGCAACAAATGCTGTTGCCTGGCTCCTGCTAACAAATACACACACACACACAGGCTCACGACAGCATTGTGACATCATAATGTACCAGTTTACACCATAGCATACCTCTTAGCCAATAGCGGTGGCAGATTTAAATTAAAATACAGTGCAGAGTTTTTACCTGACAACGGCACAACACTGCCAGTTTTAGGCAGAATATTTAAAGAGCAAGTCACCCCCAAATAAACTTTTTTTTGCTGATAAACTAAATAAACGAGTGTCTAATCATGCTGCAGACACGTGTCGTCAATAATTTGGCACTTCAGTGCATCTTAGTTAAAATGTAAATATTCTGCCTAAAACTGGCAGTGTTGTGTTGTCAGGTAAAAACTCTGCACTGTATTTTAATTTAAATCTGCCACCGCTATTGGCTAAGAGGTATGCTATGATGTCATCTGGTACATTATGATGTCACAATGCTGTCGTGAGCCTGTGTGTGTGTGTGTATTTGTCAGCAGGAGCCAGGCAACAGCATTTGTTGCATTTTTCAAAATGAAGTGGGAGTGGAGTTAGACTCTGGTAGGGGTTGACTTGCTCTTTAAATTTTAACTAAGATGCACTGAAGTGCCAAATTATTGACGACACGTGTCTGCAACGCAATTAGACACTCGTTTAGTTAGTTTATCAGCAAAAAAAAGTTTATTTGGGGGTGACTTGCTCTTTAAATGGTCAGATTTGGAGTTGCTGATCTACCTCACAAATAACATTCGTAAGGAAATGCAAAAAGCTTTAAAAGTATCTGCAGCGTCCACACCCTGTTTTACACTATTTCCATCAGTGATGTAATAAATCATAAACATGGTTAGTTAACCTAAAGTCTACGAAAATGATGACAGCTGCATTGTGATTATCTGTAGGCATGTGTGTGTACACCAATCAGTACTAAAGTGTCTTAGTAATACTTTTAATTTAAAAGTTAACATCTAATGTTTTCTTTCCACAGTAATTGCAGCTGATTTTTTAGATTAAGCGCCTGATAATGGAGGATCACGCCGTTAACCAGACCCAACACATGACTACCATCGAGGCCAGCGCTGTCAGTCAACAGGTTTAGCCAGCACACTCGTGCACCTTCATTTAAATGATGATCAATAAAACCAATCACTTCAATGTTTAAGACAACCCCTTGGTAAACTGCTCTGTGCTGACTTTTCTTTGTGAAAAGGTGCACGTGACCACCTACACAGAAGCATCTATGATGAGCGCTGAAGAGGACTCGACGTCCTCGCCAGATGACGACCCGTATGATGACACGGACATCCTCAACTCAGCGGGAACGGATGAGGTCACCGCTCACCTTGCTGCTGCAGGTTAGGGTTAGGTTTGGTGATTCCCTAGGACTGAACTCAAACATGATTCCTTTCACACAGTTAAGGAATCTAAAATGTGTCCGAAGTCCACTGTTTTGTAAGATTTGATGGACGAGTCATCTGTTTATGTTCTGTATTCGTTCAACTCCAGAAAGTGGTTCACACTTCTTTACTTTACTGTTTTACGTGGCAACGGTAGCTCAGGGGTTAGGAGTTCAGCATTGCAGGTTCAAACCCATGTTCGTGCAGTCACGTTAAGTCATTGTGTGCTTGGGCAAGGCATTTCACCATCTTACCTGCTGGTGGCACTCGGCAGCCTCGCCTTCGTCAGTGTGCACCAGGGTGTGTGTGTGTGTGTGTGTGTGTGCTTGTGTGTGTGTGCCTGTCTCAGAAAGGGGCTACACACGTGCAGGTCATGTTTTATTTACCTTGATGTAATACTACAAATTGACCAGCGGGTGGTGCTAATGTTCTTTGTATTGAAGCTGTGCAGATCGATAGACACTTCCTGAGTTTCTTCTGGCACATTTTTCATCTAAATCCTTTTTTAAAGAAAGCTCTTCATAAAAACGAGAAGCTTGTGTATTAACATGTTCCTCATACCAAACAGAGAAGTCAGGGGGAAGAAAACGCTGAATTACTTTTGTAAAATTTAGTAAATTCGGAGTCATTTCTTTTACAACCAGTAAAACTTGCTCCCCTGTTTTTTTTTTTTTTTTTTTTTTTTATCAGGACCAGTCGGCATGGCAGCTGCTGCTGCTGTGGCAACCGGTAAAAAAAGAAAAAGACCTCACATCTTTGAATCCAACCCCTCAATCCGCAAGAGGCAGCAGACTCGTCTGCTCAGGTGAGTTTCTCCGAGAAGCCCCCGCCATCTTTTAAACAAACAGTTTAACATGAATGAAAATAGCTTCAACCACCCGACATCTCTCATGTGCAACTTTAGATCTGTTAAAGGAGGTGAAAGATGATGGTTTGTTTACAGGAAACTGCGAGCCACGCTGGATGAGTACACCACCAGAGTGGGCCAACAGGCCATAGTGTTGTGTGTGTCTCCATCTAAACCAAACCCTGTGTTTAAGGTGTTTGGTGCTGCTCCTCTGGAGAACGTGGTGAGCGTCTTTAGCGTTGCACTGTGACATTTCTCTATTTGCTGGAATAACTGTGACAAAAGCCATTATGGTTAAAGCTTCCTTCTGGAGTATTTCTCTTATCCAATGGCACCATCTAGTGGCTGACAAGCGTATCACACAAAAACGCTGTTGCTCTGTTTTTTAAGATGGCGACTTCACGTTTCTGTTTATAAATGTGCTTCTGTAGCCGACAAACAGCTAAAACATGTTGTTTTACGAGTATTATTCTCATGTCATGTTGTGTTCTCGTATATTTATATTTTAGAGACTTTCTTGTCTGTGAAAAGTTCATCAACGCTGCATCAGCCGAGGTATTCCTTAAATGTGAAGGGTCTAAGCGGTAGTCTAACGCTATTGGTTAGTTCTGGTCGGCGCTCAGTTTCCTATTGCGGGGAGCTCTGCCGGGCACAGGGTGTGCTTAGCAAAAAAAAAAAAAAAGACGTATTGCTCATATTATATCACAGTACATGATAAGATAATCACTTTTACAGATCTCTGACAAATCGTACATTATTTCTGAAAGAGGAAAACTCCGGAAAGCAGCTTTAATGGTGTTCTGATCCTGTCAACATCCAAAAACTCCAAAGGTGTCTGAGATGATTGTGTCCTGGTGGCTAGGTGAGAAAGTATAAGGGCATGCTGTTAGATGACCTGGAGAACGCCCTGGCTGAGCATGCTCCTGCATGTGGAGAGATGAGCTCGGAGCTGCCCCCCCTTACCATCGATGGCATCCCCGTCTCCGTGGACAAGATGACCCAGGTGAGACCTCTTTACAATATAAGGTACATAGCCAGAAGGTGATCAACTGGTCACATTTACCATTAAATGGCTGTTTTTGTTTTGCAGTGAAATTCTAAATATTAAATTAATGCTACCAGTAGGGGGCGCTAGCTCCCAATAAACCTAGAAAAATACAATCATGTTTCATTTGTAGGATAAAAAAAAAGCCTAGACAGTGAGAATAAATGCTTATTTTATAGTTTATCATCACTGCCTAATGTTCTTTTTCCTTTATGTGAGCAATGATTTTGTTTGGTAAGCATATGAATAAAAGTTAGAGTGGCTCAGGCACATTTCTGATTCGTGAGGGGTGTCAGCACTTTAACATAAGTAAAACCTCCTCTTTCCCAGAGAGGAAGTGCAGAGTTGGCGGCTCTTCCACTGCAGCATTGGCACCACTGGCTGCCTGAGCCCTCGGTTCACTCCAGGGATGCCGGCTTGTTTACTCTACCGTCCCCGTGCTGCTGACGCACTCTGGATAATCATCAGAGTAGCCGGCATGATGGTGGCCCTCAGAGATGGCCCACAGCCCAGGGAACGTGGCAGCCAATCCCGACGCCGGAGAGCTCCTGGGAGGCTGAGTGTTAGTCGGTGCTTGTTTTTCTGGAGCTTGTAGGATGAGATTAATGGGAGTCATTTGTTGCCTCATTTGCCATTTAGTAAAACCAGGTAGAACGGTTTGTTCTAAAGAAGAAAAAAAAACTAAAAAGATTGACAAACAGGACTTCTTAATCTGTAACGGATTTTGGATTTTGCACACACAGCCAAAATCCCCGTCCCTGAAGTTACATGGAGCATGTGTAGCAGGTGATCCCAGGTCTAGCCTGAGCCCATAATTACCGCCTAGCCTTGTTAAGTTCAGAGACCCGGCAACATAGCTGCTCTCCCAAACTCTGATTGGACCACTGCTTTGAGGATTAAGATTGGGGGTTGGGGCAGTCGCCATGAAGGCAACATGCCACTTAACTAACTAGCCACTTTAATTAGGCCATCTGGCCTCACACGCAAACATCCGCATCACCCACAGGTGGAAATGCAAGAATCCCTTTGCTACTAAGTCCTTGTCCTTGTCTAATCCAAGCTGCCATCTCACTGTTTGCTAAGTGGGAGCTGTAATACATCAGATGCAGTTTCTGTTTGGTGATTAAGCTTTGAGCCTCCATTTTCTAGCGAGATCCATTTTGTCGTGTTTCGTCGTTTAGTGCACTGAGATGCTGAGTGCATGTAGCTTGTGACTGTGAGTTGGAAAGGGGGGTCTAGCAGGCAAGAGGAAGGGATTTATTTCTCCCAGAACCAAATTTAGCCCATGATGTCAAGGTAGGCAGACTCTGCAGAGACTCATGGTGCAATATAATCCCCCAGTGATGCATGCATATTACCAGGACACGGAGGACATTGGCTCTAAACCCTGCTGCAGTGTGTTGGTGGTTGTGCATCTGAAAGTGTTAATGCCAGGTTTCTGAAATATGGAGACGATTAGAAGATCTTACTTTAAAAAGGCTATACATGACTCATTTTCATCCTTAGATTTTTCCTAACAATTTCTCAGTTTGATCACAAAGCAAACAGACCCATGGGGAATGGACTGGAGCCTTTGTTGGGACGGGTTCTCGTGGTGTCAGTTTGGCTCCTCAGGCTGGAGCCACAGCCATAGATCGGCCCTCAAATAACCACGGTCTCCTCTTTTGGAAATACTGTTTCTATTTGTGGGCCTTGACCACCTCAGCAGGTGCACGATCAATACATGTCTCCTTCTGCAGACCCAAGTGGGTGTGTGTTCGCATGTGTGTCAGCTTACTTCTGTTTTAATGTTGTTTTTTTTTTGTCAGTGCAAGGGTTCATTTGTCCTGTTAGCAAAATATCTCATAATTCACAACAAATCAACTTTAATAACTCATCCGACGTTGCAGGTATTGAGCCAACAGTGTGATGCAGTAGCAAGGACACATACTAGCTACATGTTGCATGAGATTATCTTTGAGATTTGACCTAAACAGCTGCAGCACTTTCATCTGTCCTCATAAGATTATTTTAAAGGAAAACTCTAGCATGAAAGGTTGCAAACGATAGCTTCAAGGAGCACTTGGCCAGTAATTATATATCTTAATCTGTGTTTTCTTTCAGGCTCAGCTGCGAGCGTTCATCCCGGAGATGCTGAAGTACTCCACGGGCAGAGGGAAGCCTGGCTGGGGTAAGGAGAGCTGCAAGCCAGTGTGGTGGCCCGATGACATCCCCTGGGCCAACGTCCGCAGCGATGTCCGCACAGAGGAGCAGAAACAGAGAGTAAGAGACCTGCCAACGAAATATCCTGCAATGACGGGCTTCTGTTGAGATTCTGTTTGAGTGCACTGCAAAGGAAGGAAACTTTACCACCGTTTATCCTCTAAGAGCACACGTTAACTTATCTGTGCATCCTCAGGTATCTTGGACGCAGGCGCTGCGGACAATAGTGAAGAACTGCTACAAGCAGCACGGCCGAGAGGATTTGTTATATGCTTTTGAGGACCAGCAAGTAACCGCGGCAACTACGCAGCATCACCTGACGGCTGCATCGAGCATAGCCCACCTTGTGCCCTCTCAGACTGTCGTACAGACCGTGAGCAACCCTGATGGAACGGTCTCGCTCATCCAGGTGCGGTGCATTTCACACTAGTTGAGTTAAGTGGCAAAAGGTTTAAAACGTGTACGTGTACTCAGCGTTCACGCTTCTCTCAGGTTGGGACGGGACACACGGTCGCCACGCTGGCAGACGCCTCCGAGCTACCGGGTGTGACGGTAGCTCAGGTTAACTACTCAACTGTTACTGATGGGGAGGTAACGGCGACATAAATCACTTTTATAATGACGGAGAAAAACACATTCCAAGACTCCTGTCTGAAGGTGTGTATGTTTGGCTCGTCAGGTGGAGCAGAACTGGGCCACTCTCCAGGGCGGAGAGATGACGATCCAAACGACCCAAGCATCAGAGGCCACGCAGGCTGTAGCATCACTGGCTGAAGCTGCAGCCGCTGCTAGTCAGGAGATGCAGCCTGGAGCCACCGTTACCATGGCGCTCAACAGGTGATGTTACAAATGAATGTTTAATCTTGTAGCTCCTGAGCTGTGTAAAGAGGTAAACTGTTTATTTTAAAGCTCCTGTAAATGATTTTCTGATGGTGAATTAAAAGGAAACCGTTAGTTATCGACTCCTTGATTTTTTTGTCATTTTGTTTTTGATCCGGCTGAACTCAGCAGGTGTCTGCTTGTGTTTAGCTGCAGTGCTGTCATGGCGATCATTTCAGATGTGCATGGGTATGTCCCACCGGGGCTTGTTACCTGCACCCTCCAGAGCCTTGACACCCCCCACAGCTGTTTACTTCTGCTGAGCCGCTCTTCTCCACGGCTTCTGGAACATTTTGTGCGTTTTCCAGCTCCGAGGGGTGGGGGGGGTGGGGGGGGGCAGCGCTTTCCTCTCTGTGTACCTTTTGCGCTGCGTCCGTGTAACAAATGTATCCGCAGAAGCTGAGCTTTATCTCTCCTGCCGCCCCTACACCCTTTTTGCCCATCTGTACTTCTGTCTCCGCGACGATTATCAAACAGGCTGTGAGTGTGTTCATAACCAAGCTGCAGTAGTGGTAATAAGTCTGTGATAATTCCACGGGGTCGATCTGGTTAATAAAAGTGCTTCGTTAGACCAGCAGCACCTGGCCTTTGGGGAGATGTGACAGATTCTCTATAAGTCCAGACAAGAAAAGCTTCTTACAGCTCATACACTCCTGCCTCCTCACCTCACGTCTCTAATAACCTTTAGGAGCAGACTGTGTGAAAGAGGCTTTGCGCCAGAAGTTTCCATCTAGAGACTTAAAATCTCCATTTATCTTCTGAGTTGTGATTCATATTAAAAATGCGTTCCCATATTTTGTTGTGTTACAGCGAGGCAGCAGCCCACGCTGTAGCGACGCTGGCAGAGGCCACTCTTCAAGGAGGGGGGCAGATTGTCCTGGCAGAGACGGCGGCTGCTGTTGGGGCTCTGGCAGGGGTCCAGGATGCCACAGGTATGGATTCATCTGCACAAACGTCCACTCCGAAACTCTCAGGACACAAACATGCACAAGGGCTACAATCCAGAAAGGTCTTTCATTATTATAACCAACAATGTAACTAGGAATTTCATCATTTCCATGTATCCGCTTGTTTTCTATCACTTCTCTACTAATTGTTCCACCAATCAGTGTAAGCTTCCCACTAGTGAGGCCTCTCAGCCCCCTCCTCCCCCCTCGTTCTAATCTACTCTGTGCTGATTTGACAGATGGTGGGTTTTTGTTCTCATAGCCTTCCTCCTTTAATGATATGTTACTAAAGGTTGACCCTCAGTATTATGTTCAGTGAGAATCTTCACATTCAAACAATATTAGAGAAGGACGTCAATGGCGTATTCACAGCGGTAGCTTTATCAATAATCAGAGTCGCCGTCGCCGCCCCCCCCGAGCTATTGACCTCAGCTAATCGTGAGCTGTAGAGAACTGTTTGAAGTGCACTTGCCACACAGTGAATTGGCTTGTGTCATGACCCTTCACTGAGAAAAGCACACTGCTACACACACACACACACACACACACACACACACACACACAGCCCTTAAAGTCAGAGTGGCAGTGTTGGCTTGAGTGGTCTGTTGAACCACTTGAGGTGGTTACAGTGCTCGCCATGTCTGAACATCAGCAGGTCAGGCCAAGGTCACAGTCCCTGAGCCCTCATCGCCTCCAGTCCTGTTACAAACATCAGCACAAGTTACCACTCACAGGTTTTAAAGTGACAATGTGTAGTTTTTGTTGTTAATCTCTGGAAACAACCATCAAAATTTTGTTGAAAATTAGTTCAATGATGCCCCTGTTTTTGAAAAATATTGGCGGCTTCGTAACATATAACCATGAAAATTAGGGATGTCCCGTTTTGATATTGATATCGGTAGTGATTTGATATCGGCCCAAAAACAGTATCGGAATATGTCGAACGGCATCAAAATCTCCGATATAAGCAGTCCGTTAAGGTTCATGTTTTGCAACCAATGGTTAAGAAAAAATTGTCGTTTTTTTTTCATACTTACTCTTATTGGCTCTTGTTCTCTGATTGAGTAATATCACTTGATAAAGCCTTCCTTACTACGAAATAGGTAAAAGTACGTATGATTTGGGCTGATATCGTATCAGATTGATATCAGTATCAGTCAATACTTTGCAATATCGGTATCGTATCGGAAGTGAAAAAGTTTTATCGGGACATCCTTCATGAAAATGGGGTATAAAATACAGTTCCTGACAAAAGTCTTGTCGCTTGTGTACAAATAGACCTAAAGTGCCACTAATGCAGATTTAGTTTCAAGAAATGGGTTGTTTTAATCCAAACAGCTGCAAAACCAAACTAACAAAAAGTGTTCTAATATTCACAGCTTGGTAAAGCCCATTGAGTCAATGTTTGCCAAGACGTGTTGTCACCTTGTCAGATGAGCTTCATCTGGGACTAATAATGGATCAGTTAGGTGTGGTGTGGATAAAAAGAACCCCAGCACACTAGACCTTCACATCAACTGCAACTAGACCTCTGCAAACATGCCCAAGATTCACCCTGAGACTAAAGTGTTGATTATCAAGAGGCTGAAGACCAAATCCACTGCTGATGTGGGACACACCTTCGATGTGTCTCAGCGTCAAGTTCAGAGGATAAAGAAAAGATCTGAAGAGACTGGAGAAGCTTTGGACAAGCCATGGTTAGGCAAACCCACAAGACAGCTGCTCGAGGATCGTTTGTTGCGTCGAATATCCAAGGCAAGCCCATTTTCAACTGAGCTCCAGAAGACCTGGTCACCTGAAATTCCTGTGTCAGAACAGTTTGTTATGTTCTGTCTCGAAATGGCCTCCATGGCCGAATCAGTGCCTGTAAGCCAGCACTAAACAAAAGACAATTGAAAAACCGTGTGGCATTTGCTACGTCCCACAGCCTGCTAAAAGGATGGGCACTGGAAAAGTGGCAGAAGGGGATTTTTCAGATTAATCTTCTGTTGATTTATACCACAGTCACTGCAAATAATTCAGGAGACCTACTGGAACCCTCATGGAGCTGAGATTTACCCAGGAAACAGTGAAGTTTGGTGGAGGCAAACTCATGGTCTGGGGTTACATCCAGTAGGGGGGTGTGTGAGGGATCTGCAGAGTGGATCTTAGCTACCTCTTATATTCCCAAACATAAAAAAGGCCAAATTCTGCAGCAGGATAGTGCTCCATCGCATACTTCCATCTCCACATCAAAGTTCCTTAAGGTGAAGAAGGTCAAGATGCTCCAGGATTGGCCAGCCTGTCACCAGACATGAACATCATTGAGCATATGTGGGGTAGGATGAAAGAGGAAGCATGGAAGACCAAACCAAAGAATACTGATGAACTCTGGGAGGCATGCAAGACTGTTTTCTTTGCTATTCCTGATGACTTCATCAATAAATTGTATGAATCCTTGCCAAACCGCATGGCAAGCTCATGGAAGTCATACAAGATATAAAATTTGGATCTCACAGCACCACTTAATTTGCTGATATATTTTTGGATTTGCTGTAAAGTTGATTATTTTCTGTATAGGCAACAACACTTTTGCCAGATCTTGATCTTTCTGTCTTGATTAAATGATGCATCTTTTTTCAGTGAAACTACATGCTTACATTTAACATTATTTTGGAGTGCTTTAGCTTTTCTTGTGAGCTATTTCTAACACCAATTGATCAATTAAAAGTCAGGTTAATAGCAGGAGTTTCTGCAACATACACAAGCAACAAGACTTGTGTCAGGAACTACATGGGAGCGGGTCTAAGTCTCTGGGTGACACCCAAGCCCCCACAATGCGGGTGAGAAATTGAGGCCAACGCGGAAGTGACAAAAATTGCAGTTCCACCCTCATCCGCTGGGGGCTGGTGTCAGAAGCGAGCAAATCCTCATTGACTCCCATGTAAAAAATACCAATTTCACAGCAGAAATAAACATGTTTACAGCCTGGTACCAAAACATGTTTTTTGTTTAAATGATCTAGTTTACACTCATGACAACTCTGAGGGGGTGAATTTTTTTTTCTCACTCTTCTGTTTAAGTGTATTAAACGCCTAAAATTCTGTATAATTAATGAGCATCAGACCCACGTGACCACAGAGCTAGCTCCGTGGAAAGGCCTCAGTAGAGCCTCGGTCTGGCCTGGAAACTGCTCCAGGATTTTGAGTCTCTGTGTTTGTGTATTCTTTTTTGGATATTATTTGTGCAATTGTTGGACAAAATGACTTGCTGTGGCATTAATTGTACTAATAGAGCGTCCAAGGAGTCTCCACTTAATTTTTTTCGGTAAGTAAAATTATATTTATGTATTTTAGGTCACTGCCGAGCTGAGCTTAGATTTTAACATGTACTGTTTAACCATGAAATTTAAATGTAATAGGGTAAAACCCAGTGCATTTAACATAATGCTGCACTTTAGAAAATGGGTTGAAATATAACATGTTGGTGGAGCTGGGTTCCGACTATCGGCTTGTGGAGCTCTCGGGGGACCGATGTTTTTCAGCCGTTTCTCCCCTCCCCGCAGCTCGGCGCATCTCTGTCTGATCGCGGCTTCTGACTGCTGCGCGGGCTGTCGGCTTGTGGAGCTCTGGGATGGAAACCTTTCCACCCGGTTCTCCCCAGCGGCAGCTCTGCGCATCTCAGATCGCAGCGGCGCTTGTCTGCTGTGCGGCTGCCGGCTTGTAGAGCTCTCAGGAGACCTCTGTGTTCCACCCGGTTTTACCCAGCGGTCAGCCCAGCGTATCTCTGACTCAGAAGCTCTGGTGCTGTGCACAGTTAACTCCGGTTGTAACTAGGTTGCTACCTCTGTTAGCTTAGCTCCCACCTCCGCGTTAGCTTTGGGTTAGCTTCAGGTTAGCTTGTAGCTAGTTCGACCGGGTGTCGTCAGTTGATCCCAGCCTTACAACCCCACCCTCAGCTCCACCTCTCTTCCCTCTTGTGGAATTGTCTGGGCTTGACGGAACCTGTGACACGGTCAAAATGGCGGTGGTGGCCACCTCCCATTTTAGCTCAAAAACTTATTATTGTAGTCTATGGAAACCCATTATCCAATATTTATATGTCGATGGTGACACCATATTAGATGCCACGTTTCCATCTATGGAAGCCTTGAGGACAAAACACATTTACTGATTTGTAACAAACGGTTACAAAACTTTCACAATCAATAAACATTGTTGTTTTATACATTTACCTCTTCACTCATTGCCAGTGATGAAAAGGAGTCGGATGTCTTTGTCATTTTGCTGAAGTTTGCACTGCCGGGCCTTTTTGACCCTAATAGGCATTTTACTCCAACACAAAAATAAGGCTTGCTTGCAACGATTCAGGTATGTGCTGCCCCCTATCACCAGGAAAAATACACACTTTAATGGTTACACTGGTTTAGCTTTTAACTGTCCAGCAAACTCAAGATAACAGGAGTCAGAGTTCTGGAGGTTTTAACCACTACTGAGACCAAATCCATAGTAACTAAAGTGATGAGTGAAGGGTTTTTGGTCCACACAGATTCAAACTCATCATCTGCACTTTGCTAGGTTACAACTAATTCAGAGCTGGCTAACTTTCAAGGAGTTTTTATCAGTTTTACTCACGGTTTGCTCGTGGGATTCCCTTTGCTGTTGTAAATGTAGATTATTAGTGCACACACTGGATAGAACAGCTAAAATATGACTTTATAAAAATTTTGTTAAAAGCCTTTCACAATAAGAGTCCCAAGGAAATGCATGTTTATATTTAAAAATACTCCCATTGACCGCAGCACAAGTGACTTAAAGTGATTCTGTGTATTTTCCCTGGCGATAGGGGGCAGTACATACCTAAATCCATGGCTTCCTTTTGTCCACACTCTCTACCATGAGCATCACAGAGAAAGCACATGCCTGGTTTGAATCGTACCTCACAGGATGATCATTCAATGTGTCTTGGCTTAGACAATCCTCTACCGTGCACCGTGTTGCAACAGGAGTCCCCCAGGGCTCTGTACTAGGACCTCTTCTCTTTGCCATATACACCACCTCACTGGGTGAGATAATTTGATCACATGGCTTCTCCTAACACTGCTATGCAGACGACACCCAGCTCTATCTGTCATTTCCACTGGACACCACACTGTCTCTGCACGAATATCAAACGGTCTCTCTGATATATCAAAATAGATGAAATCCCACCATCTCCAACTCAACCTCTCTAAAACTGAACTACTTATCATCCCAGCAAAGCCATCCATACAGCACAATATCTCAATCCAAAATGACTTCCTATCTCTGGCTGCTTCAAAGGCAGTTCGAAATCTGGGTGTTGTGATTGATGAACACCTGAGCTTGAAAGACCATGTTGCCTCTGTTGCTCATTCATGACGCTTTGCGCTGTATAACATACGAAAGATCAGACCATACCTAACACAACATGCCACCCAGCTCCTGGTGCAATCTACTGTCATCTCCCGCCTCGATTACTGCAATGCCCTTCTAACTGGTCTTTCAGGCTGTACTGTGAGACCTCTTCAAATGGTCCAGAACGCAGCGACACGTCTGGTCTTCAATCAGTCAAAAAGAGCACACGTCACCCCTCTGTTCATTGAGCTCCACTGGCTACCGCTAGCAGCACGCATCAAATTCAAATTGCTAACACTAGCATACAAAGTCCGAGATGGTACGGCTCCCATCTACCTGAATCCTCTTGCAAAGGCTTACGTCTCGGCCCGGCCGCTCCGGTCATCACAGGATTGTCGGCTAGCAGTGCCTACACCACGCTCAGGACAATCCAGACTCTTCTCATGCATCGTTCCACAAATGTGGAATGACCTTCCAAGCACTACCAGAACTGCGGCTTCCTTTTCGACTTTCAAGAAACTCCTGAAGACCCTGCTTTTCAGAGAACATCTTCATAACTAGCACCTTCCCTGCACCCGTCCCCCCTCTCTACCATCCACTCCTTTGTTCCCTCCTCTCCATGATTGATGTCAAGTTGTTGTTGTTATTGTTGTTGTTAGTCTCAAGGGCAACATGCCGATTATCACTTGTAAGTCGCTTTGGACAAAAGCGTCTGCTAAATTACATAAACATAAATCATTGAAAGCAAGTGTTGTTTTTGTGTTCGAGTAAGACTGTACCAACGGATGGCCATTAGGGCCACAAATCCCTGGGGGTGCAAGTTTCCAACTAGTACTTGTCAGTAGGGCTGCAACAACGAATCGATAAATTCGATGAAAATCGATTACTAAAAGTGTTGGCAACGAATTGCGTCATCGATTCGTTGTGTTGCACAACTCTTCCAAAAGCGCCCCCCCCCCCCCCCCCCCCCTTCCCGCCCGCCGTTGCGCGCAGACAGATCAGCGCGAGGGAGAGCCGGCAGTTGTTTGGAAGAGGAACATGGCAGAAGCAGCGAGAGTCAAAAAAGTAAAAGCTTTTTAAGTTTGGGAGCATTTTCAGTTAAATCAGGCGAAGACATGCGTTACCTGCAACGTTTAGGTCAGACTTGGCATGGCACGGGATGATGCAGCGTCTTAAACGCAAGCATGTCGGGATCATCAGCGAGGAAGGAGAGAACTCTGTGTCCGGGTAAATTAAAAACTTTTCAAAAGTGATTCATCCAAGTCCCGGATTATTACACAGGCTAGACATGTCCTAAGCTCGTAAAAAAGAGTCTAAAGTCGTGAGCGCGACGCTTATTAGATGAGCGGGGGGACTCGCGCTGCTGCGAACTGGTTCCAAGGCGGATTAACTGGGCAATTGCCCAGGGCCCACGAACTCTAAAGGGCCCAGGGCACGAGCAAATTACTGTATCTATAATTTCCCGCTTTATGAGGACTATGGTGACCATGCATCCCGTTTTCCCCGGACACGTCCTTTTCACTCTCTGTCCGGCGTGTCCGGACTGCGGGTTCTTGTATTGATGAAAATGTCCGGCTTTTCATCCAGGAGCAGGGATCGAATTATGGGGGAGCTGTATATCCTACACATCCAGGTGAACCGGAAAAAGTTTTCTATATTATATCATTTTTGGACTCTTTTGAGCAGAGAGCGGCACAGCGCATTTTTGCGCAGCGATCCAGGCAGCTGCTTCCAGCGCACGGTCCATTCTCAAAGTGGCGCAACCAAAAAACTATAATTAGCACACGATCGTTCATGTCCGCACATGTTCTCTATTTTCTGTCTTATTTGTGCCTGCAGCGCTCTGCTACTGCGGAGCTCATCACCTGTGCTGCGGTGATTTCACCTCACGCAGCATCGAAAACGCGCTCTGCGCTTTGCAGTATGGAGATCCCTTTGATCTGCTCAAAAGTAACTGATGAGGTGAAAAGGTAAGAATCCAGGCAACAGATTTTCTGGAGAATTAAGAGGAGATGCAGGAAGATGAGAGACAGACAGGACAGGAAAATAGTTAAATAAAAACAACAAAACAAAACAAAGTGTTGAAAAGTAAAATGTAGGTAGATTTACCTCCACTACACGTTTTTACCTGTATAAAACAATAAGTTACACACATGTAATATTTATAAATTTGATACTATTCAGGTCACCTTCAACACTCAGTCACACACCCAGGGCCGTTTCAAGTCATTTTGGGGGCCAAGGCAAAATGCCCCCCCATAACTGCGCTCCCCTAATTCATACCCTCTCCAGTAGTGTTAGTTATACAGTGTTTATAAAAGCCCCTCAGGCATTACTGACATGTTCTAATATTATCAGATGAAAAACTAAATTATCAGACATGCTGTCTCATCTGCTTCTTTTCTAAACTTGCGTCATTTTTGGAAATAGTGATCAATTTTGATTAATTCACAGCCTATGTTTAATTACATTTAAAAATTAGTTGTTTGACATCCCCAGTTATAATAAATGTCTACAGATGAGATCAAACAAAACAGTGAGAATTGCCCTTAAGCTGTTTAATTGGACCAAGCATTTTAGGTCACAGATAGATGTAGCTTAGGGTCTCTGTCTATACACCTTATAAGACAATTTAGGTGATGGCATGTTGTTTTACTGCTATTGAACTGTTTTCTAATAATGTTGTGTTAAATAAAGTGAAGGAAGGAGAGAAATAACGTTTCCCTAGCAGTTTTTAAAAAATTTCCCCATGTAATCCGATTAATCGATTAATCGTGTCGAGACCCCATCCGATTCATCGATTATCCAAATAATCGTTTGTTGCAGCCCTACTTGTCAGGCTGTTCAACTTCCAGCAAAATGGCAATCATCACTTCATCACAGGCAACGAGCAAAGAGGTAAATGTGTAAAACAACATTTATAAATGGAGAAAGTTTTGTAACCATTAGTTACAAACCAGTAATGCATTTTGTCCTCATGGGCTCATGTAGAAGGAAATATGTCATCGCCCAGAGAGTAAGTCTAATTTATACTCCATCAGCTCCACAAGGGAGAGACACGCACTAACATGCAAGTTTTGCTCTCGGACTTCTCCGTCTCCTGAGGAGTGTTGTATAGCAGTTCCCCGCCGGGACAACAGGGGGCGTAGCGCTGTTCTGGGGTCCATGATGGTGTATTTAATAGTTGTGTTTATGTAGTGTTTTTGTATTTCAAGAGACTTTAACACGACAAATTTGTCCCTCATTCTCCTCCACCTCTTCATGGGCTCGGCACCTCTAAACCCATGTTTCCTGTCCCAGAATAAAACGCTTGCTGCGTATATTTTCACTCCTCCACTCACGGGTGAATAAAACGTTCATATTTTTGGAGTTTTTCTGCGAGGTACTCTTCAAGCTGCTCCGTATCTGCTGCTAGATATCTTCAGCTATCTTTGTGTTTTTGAGGGAGCAATGGCGGCGGTGTTGACGAAAGTGGCGTCCTGACCAATCAAAAGCTTGCGTTCTCCGTCTCGTTGGACAGATGTTTAGAAAAGAGAGCTCAACTCCGCTCGTTCTGGAGAGCCCTCGCAAGGACAGATAATGGCATTGTGTGCATCCGTCCCGACGCAGACGGGGAAGTATAAATTAGGCTTTAGACCCGCTCTTGTATATTTTAAACCTGGTTTTTATCGTTCTAAGTCACAAAGCCACCAATATTTTTCAACAACTGGGCATCATTTAATTAATTTTTAACAACATTTATGTTTCCAGGCAGTAACGGTAAAAACTACACATTGTCTCTTTAAGGGCGGTGGCTTCATGTTTACGTCCTGCAGACTAAAATCAGCCAGGTGCATATTTGTTTGTTTGTTCTAGCAGCTGCTCAACTTCATGTTGAAGTTTTCCAACAGCATCCTTTACCACATTCATTTTGTCCTCTTCTTAAATATTTAATGAGTCGAAACACGTCAAGGTAAACTCACAACACAACCTTACATGTCCCAATGAAAAAAGAACCTCATTAAGTGTTTTCCAACTGCAGTGAAGAATAAAAAATGTGAAGTGAAGAAGGATCCATTGTCTCCTAATAAAAGTAAATTCATTATTAATGTGTATAATAATAGTAGAGACTGCTGGTTAACCCAGTAAAGGTACTGGCTAGGCTGTTTGTGCACTAATTTTACTTTGTGAGTGTTTGATAAAACCACGATAACATTGTGTTGCTGCTAAATTTCACTACCGTTCCATCCCCAACTTGGACAGTGAAAGGAGATGTGGTTTTATTCTAACAGCACTGCAGTGATTGAAACACTTACATTCCGAGCGTCTAAGCTCACAGGAACAGGAGTGACACACACCTATCTCCTATCCTGACATTCCTGTCTGCCTGTGACTTGGTGACAGCTTGCAGAGTGGGGCAAAAGCCCATGTGACCACAGCAATAATCCCTACAATCAGACACACACAAGCACAGCTGGGAATGGGGGAAGCGACCCGAGAAAATGTCTTCCTGTCACACAGCTCCTGTAGATCTGGCCTGCTAAGATCCGTGCCATCAGAAACATCCTTGGCTCTGCAGCTTGATGTTATCCGGTTAAAAGGTTTCGCTGATGAGGCTCATGGGTTTCTTTTCTTCCTCAGGTCTGGTCCAGATCCCAGTCAGCATGTACCAGACTGTAGTGACCAGCCTCACCCAGGGCAACCGTCCTGTTCAGGTTGCCATGGCACCTGTGGCAACACGCATAGATAACACTGTCACACTGGATGGCCAGGCGGTGGAGGTGGTGACCTTGGAGCAGTGACGCTATGAACCTTGGAAGGAGTAGAAATCACTGAAGGGCCCGCCGCAGAAAGTAGTTTCTCCTTTTTGTGGAAACAACACATCATAAAAAACGTTGCAAAAATTTTAAAACGTATACATCTGCAGGGGGAAGAAAGATGATTAATGCATCGTGTTTACTATGTAAAGATATTGCATTTGTTGGTGTATTATTTTTGTCTCATTTATTTCCGTATTTTAAACTCTATGATGTCGAGTGTTTAGTATTTATTTCCTTACTAGTAACCCTTAAAGATGAACCAAAACACCAAGGGAGGAAAGCCACCACTGCATCAACTCAAAGAACTGTCCATGGTTTTTGGTTTTTGGTCCAATCTGTGTGCTTTTTAGTGTTCATTTGAAATCTGGTGCCATATTCAGCCCTAAATCGCCCCCTTTTTACTCGTATCCCCAAAAGCTATTCTAAAGGTATTTTCCAAATCGCGTGACTGACATCAACAGCAGCAGTTTTGCTCATACTTGTTATCATTTGATGAGAAGGCATTACGTTAAAACATTGTCTTGACTTGTGCTCTTACTGTAGTCCACACACACACACCAAAATTTGCAGAAATTCATGATATACATCGTAGTGTTTACTGCTGAACAGATCTCGTTTATTTCTGGTGCATGGATCACAGAGGCACCCGCCTGTACGTTTTTTAAAAGATCTCTTTTCCTCGGTTATCTGCATCACTTTGTGTTGTCTTACTTAAATAAGAGCTGAGAAATGTGAGAAGCAAAGACACCTTTCTAATTTATTTGAAGACTGAGATTGTTGGACGTGGTTGTAACTCTGGGTTTTACCCCATCACCAAATGTGTGTATTTGAAAAATAAAGTCCAGAACAATGACTGCTGTACCGTTTGAACAGTAACTCTTGGGTTTTAATAGCTTGGTTATTACATGTCCTGATTTATTGTTAACATTATGTATGTCATGTTTTAAGGCAGCTCTATAAACACCTGAAATATTTGAGCCTTCTGAGGTATTTCTGTTCATTTGCACTGTTATTGGGTGTTTTCTGTTTGTTTGTTTCTATTTGTGAGGTTAAACGCTTTGGTTTGGATTCATATCTGAAGAACAGAAACACGGTCCACATGAAGAAACCTTTTAAACATGTTGTTACAGATGTGGCCTAATACCTGGATTTTTCACTTAAACGTTTTGTTGTTTGTTTTTTCTTCCTGTGTCCTGTCCAGCTGTAAAGCGGTCAGAATCGATGTCTGACTGCCAAAGACGAGCCCAACAGATTTACTCTCGTGGGTGGAGCAGTGGAGCTTCAGTTAAATTGCCTTGCCTGAGACCAAAAGTTTATTAGAAATATTTTGGGTTGTTTTGAATCCCAACGGACACGGAGACAGAAATGAAAGCGAGGAGAGGACCTGCAGATAAAGAGAAAAAGAGGGGGGATACACAAAAATACAACTGAACCAAAGTATCACTGCGCCAACCACGAGAATGTGTAACGGTGACAATATTTGCTGAAAAGCTCACTAATAATTGTAGCAATTATTACATATTAATTATGACCAATAAGATGTGATATTCCATACAAATATGAAACATCAATCTGATTGATCTTTGAATGTTTAATCAGAGGATTCTAGGGTTCTTTGCTTGTTCAGGGATCATAAACACACTTTGTATTGATTCAAACAGGGTCAAGTATATGGTTTATAAAATGAATTTAATTATTTTTCCTAAACTAATGACACATGACAAGATATGAATAACGAGATGTGATGTGGTGGATGTGAGGTGATGTAATTGAAGCTAGATGTTGTAACAACCGTTCTTTGTATCTGAGAGACATTGTGAAATCTGGGTGTAAAAGAATTTGTTGTTTGTTATAAACTAGAGAGTTGTTTGTTTATAAATCTCATCAGACACCAGTATGCAGGCTTACGATACCCTTGTATGAGTTGCTCCCGGAGGTTTGCGGTCAGAGTGGTGAGGTCACCGGACTCAGAGATGAGTAGCTTCCTCTGAGTTCAGCTTCCCTGGCCATGAGATGCAACCTGGGGTCTGCAGATTAGGTGTCCAAGGTGGATGTCTGAGAGTAGAAGTAGCTCTGAAAAGAGCTGTTGTGTCTGTAATCACTTGCAGCATCGCAGAAAGGTTTTTGACTTAAGGTCAAAGGAGTTTGTTTCAAAGGAGGATTCTTTCCCGATTTGGCTGGGGGGGGGGGGGGGGGGGGTCAGCTGGAAACTGAATTAATCGGGAAGTAATTCTTATTTTATTAAACTACTTAGTTATGATTTCTGGCCAAGTTTGGCCGATCAGAATTTGACACGTTTCTGAGTATTTACCAACATCCCTCAGAAAGCCACGCCTTCCTTCAGATACAAGATTTTTAACACTGTGAAAAAGAATCTCTAACCTTATGTGAGGTGTATGAGTGTAAACCATGATTAACTTGTTAAGTCAAACACATACTGATTTGTGATATAAATGGATCATTGTAAGAACAATATTCATTTAAAATTCATTGATTTAAGCACAGGTTATTCAAACATTTGATTTAAACATCTTGTTCATTCATCACATATGATTATTTAACTTATAACATCATGGAGTCTTCACTTATTCAGAGGGAAGAATGTTGACGTCTGGCGTTCACACAGTGAGTGCAAGAACCTTGGATGAGAATGTTTGAATGTTTTGTCTTCATGGCATGTAAACAAGCACTGCAGAACCTTCTGGGTTTGGAAGGCCAAATAGAAAGTGGATTTGTTTCTGTAGCTGAAAGGTCACTATGTTGGTCGATGTTTAGGTGAAAATTGACCCTGTTGGTACATTACATAATTCATGGTGTATTTAGTACCAACCACAGCCTTGGGTGATGTGTCAAAAATGCCCAAGTCCATACTTGTGAGAGCACCATGTGAGCACCAGTAAGCGTTCACACGCTTGTATTTGTAAGGTTTTTCTATAGGAGTGTCCAATAGTGAGCGTGAAGATCCACAGACCTGCCCCAAAGACCTGCAGAAGATGGGGGAGTTCCAAGCCCCAGAGATCCAGAGACTTTTTCTCCAGTTAAGGAAAACACGTGATTTATTAGATTTTTGGTTGTTACTGTCTAGGTCTTCTGTAATGCAGCAACATGAGGCTAACCATGATACTGCCACCATGTTCCATGAATGACTATTGTGTTCTCTCCTAATGCAGCTGAATAACTTGTGCATCATTTATGTCCACTGCTCAAAGAAATAGGAACACAAAAATAAGACATCCTAGATCTGAATGAATGAAATAGTTTTATAAATTCTTTGTTCTTTACATAGTTGAAGTGCTGACAACAAAATCACACAATTGGAAATCTAATTTATTAACCCGTGAAGGTCTGAATTTGGAGTCACATTCAAATTTAAAATGGAAAAACACATTACAGCCTGGTCCAACTTTGATGTAATGTCCTCATAACAAGTCAGAATGAGGCTCTGTAGTGTGTGTATGACCTCCCTACAACACCTGGGCATGCTCCTGATGAGGTGGTGGATGGTCTACTGAGGGATTTCCTTCCAGACCTGGACTAAAGCATCCACCAACTCCTAGATAGTCAGAGGTGCAGCGTGGCATTGATGGAGCAAGACAAGTCCCAGATGTGCTGAATTGGATTCAGATCTGGGGAGCGGGTGGGTCAGTCCATAGCATCAATGTCTTCGTCTTGCAGGAACTGCTGCCACACTCTAGCCACACGAGGTCTGGCATTGTCTTACTTTAGGAAGAACTCAGGGCCAACCACACCAGCATATGGTGCTCCTCCTGTTCCCGTTGTTGCCCTCCTTACAGCCACATCTCCTGATGTACTGGCCTGTCCCCTGGTAGCGCTCCCATGCTCTGGACACTGCACCGAGAGACACAGCAAACCTTCTTGCTTCAGCTCGCATTGATGTGCCATCCTGGATGAGCTGCAGTACCTGAGCCACTTGTGTGGGTTGTAGACTCCGCCTCATGCTACCACTAGAGTGAAATCTACCAGCATTCAACAGTGACCAAAACATCAGCCAGAAAGCACAGGAACTGAGAAGTGGTCTGTGGTCACCACCTGCACCTCTCTCCTTTATTAGTGATGATTATAAATCAGTGTTGCCTCCTAAGTTGACAGTTTGGTTTTCACAGAAGTGTGATCGAGTTGGAGTTGGATTGTGTTGTTAAGGGTTTCTTTTATTTTTTAGCTGTGTGTGTGTGTGTGTGTGTGTGTGTGTGTGTGTGTGTGTGTGTGTGTGTGTGTGTGTGTGTGTGTGTGTGTGTGTGTGTGTGTGTGTGTGTTTCTGACTCATCAACAGTCCCTTTTAAAACAGGGGGGAAAAATTCTTTTTTTTTTTTTTTTGGTCAAACTTGAATTTTTTCCCAGCGTCTGAAAACAGATAAAAGGTAGATGTAAAATACCAGCTAACTCCTCAAGTTCACAGTTTCTGCTCTTTGAAAACACTAAGTTTTTCTCGTATTTGTAACAGTTTTATACTTTTCCTCAGTCGTGCCTCGTTTCTCCAAATTTTAGCTACAATAGTAGACTTACCAAAAAACCCGATAACCTCTTCCCTGTGCTCCACTCCACCTCCCCCACAGTTATGGACAGGGCCTTGATTACATCATAAGCTGCCTGAACCTCCTCTGCTTTAAAGCCTGGGATTTGCTAGCAGGGCCCTTCTGTTGCAGAGCAGAACACAGAGAGAGAGAGAATGTCCTAATCTAGCAGGCATCTGCATGCATCCCTCCCTTCCTTCAGATTAAATATGAACCAAGTTTCATTCAGACACAAAATAATCACATTTTTGGACTACCAGAGTCTTAAACTAAACTATTTTCATATTTGTTGGCTACAATGCCAAATGATTGTGTGCTGTCTGTTACTGATCAGGTTTAAATATTACACTGAATTTTAGTAAATGTCTGAAAATCTCATGGCGTAAATGATTCAGAAAAGCTGCATGCGTGCAATGTGAAAATGTGCAGGGTGTTAAATTTGCAGCTCACATGCAAATATTCTTAGATTACAGAGTTTATCAGCACGCTCTCTTGGTAAATAAAGTCCTGCTCTCTGGGCTGCATCAGTACGCCCAGCTTAACGGGCATCAAGTGTCCTAAAACCTAAAAAAATCTACCATCCTCTGCGATGACCCTCTTTTATCTCTGTTTGTTCTGGGAGTGGTTTCCAACCAGGTGCTCACTGGGATGACCCGAGACTAGTCTGCAGTTCTTTTTTAGCACCACAGCCTGATGGTGAATGGCCTGCATTTATACAAATTGGATGGAGAATCCTAGTCTGCCGATATCCCACAAGTTTTAGCTGTTTCACTGCCTTAACTCAGCTGATTTTTATCGGCAGGTGATTAACAGGCTTCTGCAGAGCTTGATGAGTAGCTGAACAGGTGATTCAACTCTTGAATCAAGAGTGATTGAGCAGGGAAATAGCAAAAACATGCTGGATACCTGCCGTTGACTACCAGCTTCCTAACCCCTGATCTAGAATCCTAGAAACCCCCAAGGCACTTTACAACACAACATTCACACGCTGGTGATGATGAGCCAATAGCAACAGCAGCCCTGGGGTGCACTGATTGAGTTGGGGCTGCTGTACAGGCACTGCTGGTTCCCCCCCGACCACCACCAGCAGGCAAGGCGGGCCAGTTGTCTTGCCTAGGCCCTAGAGACACAACAACTGCATCACACTGAGTGGGGTGTAAATTTGCAACCTACTGGTGACGGGGTGGGCACCATTCTGCCACCACTACCCCCCAGAGACAGAGTTGGGGTTAGTTTGGTTTGGTTCTGGCTGGCTGACTCTCCCTCACCGGTACAGACAACAAGACAGACTTACTCATGTCTCATAATCATGCATATTCCTCTTCCATGTTTAGTTTTTCACTTTATTTAGTAAACACTTTGTAAAGTTAAAAGTTTAGCTCCGTTTCACTGTGTGTCCTGCGATGGACCTCTTCAGGATGTCCACCACTTGCAGTCACCAGCCC